TTGGTGCCAGAGTGTCCCTGAGAAAGCTGATAAGAGTCGTCGAAGTCATGTCGGTATGGATGCTCTTGAGGCTCAGATGATACTCCATGACCTGTTTATGAGAGCCATGAGATCCGAATCTTCCCACCGGAGTGGGCGTGAACTGTCGGCGCAAGGCCTTCCAGAGATGTTCATGCTGGGCGCATTCAAGTATAGTCAGTGTTGTCAAGACTGTCCAGTCGATCGCCTGACAGCAGACCTGAATTGATAGAGGAACCCTCTCCAGCTCGAGCGTGCGCAGCCTGAGCTTGCCGTCCAGTCTCTTTCGCGATAAAGTGGACGGCTCGTCGTTGGCGTCGTTGGCGTCGTTGCCGCCAGCCGCAGGTCCTTTCTCGAACTGCATGTCCTCCATCGGCTGGTCATTGCTCTCCTCGTGGGTGCTTGAAGCAACGCCTGTTGCCGCCGGAAGATCCATGTCCTGGCCTGACTCGACCACATCGTCCGCTTGCAAGTCCTCTGCTGCAGCAACCTCAGAGTCACCCAGTGTCGTTGAGGTCTCGACGGAATCCGAGTCGGGAGCTGTGTCTATCTGTGGCGTCCCATCGGAGGACAACAACGGGACCTTCTCCCGGGGTTTCGAAGTTGTGTTCCGACGAATATCATAGATTCGGCCGACCAAAACGCCCAAGACCCCGCCCAGCCTTCTCTCGCCAATGGTGCTCTCGCCTGGCCATCTAGCATCCCGGTCGATCTGCCGCAAGTCAGGCCCGTCCCAAGTCTGAACGAAGTCCTGGTAAATGGCCTTCTGAGATATGCCTACGCGCAACTCCTGCAGACGGTCCTTAGATCTTTCAATAACTACCGCCATCTCATCCAGGTAAGCAAGCTCGTCAATATCCAGAACAGTCAGACTCTTGACGGGAGGCAGGACACTAAAGGTAGGGAACTCGACTCGGGTTTCCGCATAGGGTATCGCAGCCCGCGGTGCCGGGTGGACAGCGTCGGATGGAATCAAAATACCAATCGCGGTGAGATTGCTGCCGGCAGGCACTGCTGCATGAGGCGGATTTGGCGGAGGCGGAGTCGACGATGCGGATGAGCTTGAGCTCTGGGAGTTATCGTGCCATCTCACCCAGACCTTCTCGAGCTTCGACTCGCCATCCGGGCACTGCTCTGGAATGGAAGCCAACGCCATAAAGATGTCGGACAGAACACCGGTCGGCATATCCCAAACGAAAGTCTCCAGGTTGACCATCTTCTCGATAGCCAGCGCCACCAGCGTACCCAGCATCTTGCCGCTCTCTTTAGTTATCATGTATTCCGCCACCCAGTCGTGCGGGCCATTTCCCAGCGAAAACTTTCTCGTGTACTTAGCATAGTCGTTCTTCTGTTGTCGTACGGAGGGGCCGTAGCTAGGTTTATAGCCGGGGTAGAGCATCGTGCGGGTACGGCGAGCGAAGGAGCTGCCAAGGCAGATGGTAGAGAGGCCATAGGTGAGGGCATCAACGCTCTTGGAGTCAGATGTTGTCATCTGGTTGGCATCGGGCCAGACAATGTCAAATCGGGAGTAGATGTGAGGAACCGCCAGGTTGTGGAGGTTCGAGTTGGTTAAGGCGAGCGAGGTGAGGTCATTTGTGTGGGTGATCTGGGAAGCACGAAGGTTAGCCAAGACAGATACAGCATTCATACAGGTGTTAACAGCGAACTTGCCTCCTTAATGATCAACCTCAAGATGTCCACCGGCAGCTCAAGCAGGGTGAGTTTCTTCTTGACCACACTAGCCGACACGACTGCATCCCATTCCTTATCCTTCCCCTTCATGAGCTTGCGCATGACGGTTGAAGGGTCTGGTCCGGCACCAGGGTTGGCATCACTGCCGGCAGGCGTAGACTGAGTTTGTGCGCCATTGTGGTATGAGGACACAACCTCGTTTGGATGCGGCTCAGCAGCTTGATGGGTCATGGCGTCTGTGGTTTGCAGGGCTGGGGCCATGATCACGAGGACCCTTGGCGCATGCTTTGGACTGCGACGGCAGCGACAATCAGCCGGTTGGTTGGCTGGTCGAGAAAATAAAAGGTGGATGTGGTGTAGGTTGATTTGTCTTCTCTGATGGTAGTGGGGTGGATTTCGTTGGAAGGTAGGAATCGCGGAGGGGGCGTCGTGGAAAGAAGCCGGTCGGCAGGATCGCAGGAGGATTCGAAGGGAAAACGCAATCGTCAGTTGAAAGCCGCAGATGGGGTCAAAAGGCGCAACGAAAAGGCGATTGAAGAAGCGGTGATTAGGAGAAGGCAGGTGCGAGGCGCTTCGTCGAGGAGGAAATTAGAAACTGGCTAGCGAAGGTGTTGGTCGAGCGAGGCCAATCATGTCATGTCGGAACAGGCGAACATGGGTGTCATGAAAACCCGTTGCGGCTCTTCAGTGAGGAGGAAGGAGGAAGCGACGGTAGTGGGTGTGGTGGTTATCTGTCGTCAGTCAGTCAGTCAGCCAGTCAGTCGTCGATGGGTGCGCCGTGTCTGTGTCGGGTGTGTGGTGGTTTAGTGCAGCTTTCCAGCCAACGAAGCACTCCGCGCGCGCTAAGGTGGGTGGATAGCCCTGTCACACATTCCCCGGATATCAAGGGCACGTAGGGTAATTTGCTTGGGCTAAGGTGCCTGGTCGTCTGGCTTACCTCAGCTTTTCGAGGTTGGTTGAGGGGTGGAAAAGTCCGACTTCTCCGGTTCGGAGGGAGAGGTGTATTTGCGGGGGTACGAAACGGAAGGGACGAAGAGATGAGGGAAGGAGGGGGCTTTTTTGTCGTCGTTGTTTTTGTTGAAGAAGAAGAAGATCCGCACGCTGCCCTGTACCTATTGAATAAATGTTTACTCTCCGGAGGTGCTCCATCGCTATTCCACTGCGAGGCACAAACTCTGGGCAGAGAGATAGTATTCGTATGGCGGCAGGGACGTGTTCACTGGGATCCACAAATGCCTGTACAAGTCCCGCGCCCCTCGAAGTGGGAGTTGGGGGCCGGTACCCCGGAAATGTTGATTCGTCGTGTGGTTTTCTGCTTCTGGCGACTGAGCTCCTTCCCGCCTTACTTCAATTCACACAGACAAGCTAGCCATGTAAGCCCGATTAAGCCAAGAGTACATGCAGTCTTTCCGCCGGCAGTGGGGGGGGGGGGGGGGGAAGACACATGGTGTACATGGTAATTCTGGTTACCTATATCGACGAAACACGACTTGCAGGTTCAGGAGCTTCTGATGTCGGTTTCGGCTCTTCTCCGAGACTCGATTAGCCTTGTCTTGACAACACTGTGGCTTTTCAGACACTTGATCCACGCATCACAGCCCGTGACTAAGACTCAGCCGGGGGGAAGGGGGCTCGACTCAGCTGCAACTCGCCTACTTACCGTTGCTTTCCCTCAGGTCCGCCATGACGTCTGAGCGGTTCCCTCGTTTGCTCGACGATGGGGGTTTAAGCTTTTATGCATGGCTCGCATGCCGCCGTCTTCAGTTGACACCCAGCGGAAGCAAAAAGCCTTGAGGTCCTCTCTGGTCAGATTTATGCGCCAGACCAGTCTTTCTATCTTGTAGCCTGGTTTTCGCATTAACCAGGTACTAGGAGCGCCTTTTCTGGCTTCCCTGTTTCTGCCCGAGATCGAGACCGACATTTCCGAGCAGGTTACTGCCGCCCACGCCTCGATACCCCTGGGCGACGCGAGAAAGGTAGGTGCTAAGGAAAAGCCGCAACTCCCGACCAAACGGACCAAGCAAGTCGTCAATGCCTGGTCTCTTTGAAATGGGGAACCCCAAGGAACCAGCAGTAAAACACACACATACCTACACACATCCAAAGTACCCGAGCCGGCTGATAGCGACCCCGTGGTCAGCGGGCCCTTCGCATCGACTCGGTTCATCTAAAAGCATGCAGTAAGAGCAGGTCACGACCCCACGAAAAGGGCAGCGACGGTGCTGTTCCCACCCTCCCAACCTATGGAGGGGTCATTCCGGCTGCTGCTGTCGCCACTTTCCCCGTCGCCCCCCGTACATACCGATATTAGTTCCAAAGAAGACGGCGTGTTGTCCATGGCGTTGTTTCTCAGAGTTCCGTTTGTTATACTTCGGCATGTGGGTTCTGTGATTCTTTCTGGGTGGTTACGTGACCTCACCGCTGCAAACGAAAGACGAAGCCGCCTGCCTAACAGGCTTCCCTTATGACACCGGGGAGGGGAGCGCTTGGTATTTGATGCACATCCTCCCCCAAACCTACATACCCGTGGAGGCAGACGGACAGACATTCCTGTCTTCCACGTCACCTCACTCTAAAGCATCGCGAGGCCACCGTCGCCTTTTCCATGTTGACATACCACCTGTTCCTATCTGCCAATGTAAATCAGAATAATCGGCAGCCGAGTGACCACGCTGCACCCTCTTGGAACCAGAGCATAACGTGTCACTGATCTTGTGTGGTTTGGCAAAAAAGGTACATTTACCTCAACCCATCCCTCTTCCCCTCCCCGACCCGACGTGTTGTCATTGTCCGCAGTCCCGTACCACCTCAGGTACCTAAAGCAGTCGAACCCCTCTCCTGCCCACCAATACCAAACACCAGCAGCAGCACCAGCCCCCGGCCATTTGACTCTCCTCAACACATGACACTATTTATTATGCGCTATTACCGCCTGGATACCGCTGTCTGACCACATACGTACAACGAACGACACTATTTATCCTCTCCACGAGAACGTTAAAACGTACACAGTCACACTTCCTCGTCGTGCCCATAGGCAGTTCGATCTCACGCATCTGCGACCAAAAGGAGCTCGTTCGCCCCTCCGACGCTTCGCCTCCGTCATCAGAACCCACCCATAACAAATCATCCTCATCCACAGTGGGCGCGCTTCGCACCTCTATCTCCGAAATCAGATCGAACGTACGAACGAACGAACGAACGAACCTCAAAACGACTGACACCTCCTCCTTACGAACAGCCATATCCCGTCCGACGCCCCCTTCCACAGAAGAAAGAAAAAAAACACCATGGCGTCCTTCATAACCAACCTCTGGGAGTCAATTTTTGTCCCTGGCCCGACCCCGACCCTCGTTCGCGCCGCGAACGGAGCCTTCGCCTCCCTTCAGGTCCTCCTCACCATCCTTCTCTTAGCGACCTGGAGCATCCACTTCGTTATCCTCTCCTTCCTCAGCGGTTCCCTCTGGTTCGCCATAAACTGGTTCGTCAACGAGCTCGCTGTCCACGCCGAGCAGGAGGCTAGGAAGGCCGAGGCCTCTTCCTCCGGGGTCGGCGGCGCCGGCAACATCCAGACGACCGATGATAGTGACACCGAGGTCGAGGGTGTCGCCGGCGGCCGCGTAGGTGTAGGAAAGAAGGGTGCCGCCGTAGGGAGCAGTCAGGTCGAGACGCCAGAGCAGCAGCGGGCCGCCGACTTGAAGCGTCGGACCGCCGCAGCCGCCGCAGCCGCAGCAGTAGCAGCCGAATCCGGTCCCGAGGACGCCACAAACGGGGGTACGCAGTCGAGTGTCAGCACCGAGGACGAATGGGAGAAGGTGTCTGGGAACGAGAACGAGAAGGACAAATGAGCGTCTCGGCGACGGAGCATGCGGGGGATACCATACATACACGAGAGACGATACGCTTAACTTAATCAGCACCACCTCTCGATTGCGACGCGGCGCTAACCTGCGATGTGCTGTGGGGGTTGCAGTTGGTAGCGCTTGGAGGGGAGGAACGGCGCACCCGTGCGATGAGATATTTGAGATACCCTTAAGCAAGCTTTGGCACATGGGCTACTACTACTATCACCGCCACCAGTGTTACTGCAGCGGCGGCTTGGCTGCAATAAAGCGGACTTGTACATAAGGACTCGGCAGCATGCTTCGTTGAGCAGCTCCACGTACATATATTCACACAAAAGATGTCGCTTTACACACACGTATGGTTCTCGCAGGGTTGCATCCGAAGTAAAAGGAAGAAGCAAAAATGGCCATGTATCCAGAAATGGCTGCTGCATCCAGCAGAAGCCGGCCGTGGACATGCGCAGCCAGCCTCGTAGCAATGATTCCCTACAAAACTCCTAACCCCTAGACAAGCCGTGTCAATCCCTTTCTCTCTCCCACGAGCACAAAAATACCGAGGGCCGAACTCCCGTCCTCTTCCGGAACGCCGTGCTTCATGCCCATGCTAACCCTTACAACGGTGCTCTATTCACACACAGGTCCCCAACCGGGTTACAGGTACTTGAGCTTCCGTGTCGCGTACGCCGCCACTACGGCGCATACGGCGCCGATGAAAAGACACACGGCGATGGCATTGGGGCCGTCGGTACCGTGCTGCTCGTGCTCCGGCGCGTCCGAGAGCTCCGGACTCTTGCCAGGCTCCAGAATCGTGAAGACGATGGTGCTGATGAAGGTGCCGATGAACTGCGGCAGCGTGGTGTAGATGTTGAGGATGCCAAAGTAGATGCCCGACAGCTCGCCCGTGGACGATGTCGCCTGCTGCCCTCCCTCGCCCGGCCCGTGCTCGAGGTGCAGCGGCTGGTCTTGGTCCATCGTGGGGAGCTCGATGTTGGAGTCGGTGGAGAGGCGGCGGTACGACGCCGCGCGGCCCTCGCGGGCCCCGCTGAGCTTGTTGACCTCTATGCCCATGAAGGTTGTCGGGGCCCACATGGCGATGGTCCAGGACAGGCCGCAGAAGGCGACGAGGAAGGTCGAGAAACGGAAGCTCTGGGCAAAGGGGGCCAGGAACATGGCGGCGGCGAACATGAGGTGGCCACAGATCCAGGCCGTCATGAGGTCCGGCTTGTTCTTGTTCAACTTGTCTAGGATCGGGGCAATGGTCTGGGGCGGACGCGCCGTAAAGTTGTCGTCGTCCGGGGATTTCACAAGCAGCGGGAGGAGCCAGGCGCCGAGTAAGGTGATGACCGAGTAGATGACCAACGCCAAACTGCCGATGCGACCAATGTCTCCGAGGGCGTCTTTGGAGTCTTTGCCCTCTGCGGGAGCGTCGTATCGGAAGTAGGTCTCACCAACCCACGTGGTGCTGTAGAACAAGAACGGGAACCAGCCGATCCAGGACCAGAACTGAGCCCAGCAGATGGCCTGGATCCGAGGAGGGAGATGAAGCAGCGTCGACCAAATCTGGCGGACCACCTTGAACCGCCCGGTGGCCTTGCGGGGGTCGCGCCTCGTCGAGACCAGGACCCGCTCGTTAACGGCCCAGCAGGTGACGCCCGACGAGAAAACCATCAGGAACGTCGCGATCAGGGTGAGCTGCTTGAACTGCGAGTCGCCCAGGGTGGTGCCAAAGATGCCGACCAGGTCGATGGCGCCGGCTCCATAGCCCAACATGTGTCCAATGGCGGACATCCTGCTAGCTTTGTGGGGATCAGCGATGGAACCCGTAGACGGGCCCGGAATTCACTTACACCAGGCGGCGCCGGTCTGCTGCTTCTCAATCGGCAGCGTGTCGACGATCAAGCTCCTTGCGCAGGACATGACTGGAGCGAATCAGCCGCGAAACCCACACTGGCTCAACAAAGCAAAGTCGACCCAAACTCACCAGCATTGATTGCGAAATCTACAAAGTATATCGCCAGGACCGCAAGGATGATGGTAACGACCCGGGCGGTCTCCTTCTCGGATATGAAAAATTCTACAATCTCCTTGGTAAACCCTAGCACCAGCAGGCTGAATGCGACGATGATGGAACCCATGACGATAAATGGTCGCCGCCTGCCCCATTTCGACTTGGACTCGTCGGCGATCGCGCCAACGATGGGCTGCACCAACAGTCCAGACAGCGGACCCGCGATCCAGACCAGCGAAGTATTGCTTTTCGTGAGTCCGAGGTTGAGGAGGTAGGGGGTACAGTCTAGTCGCCGGGGCGTGTCAGTACAGGGAAGGGGGCTGAAGAAGCCGGCCACGTACATGTCATCTCGATTCCCCATGTGAAGCTGTCGTCCACAAACCGTCAGCATTATAGACGCAAGCGTGCGCAGGAATATTGCACATACGTGATTCCAAGGGTGTTGAATGTCAAGAGAACCATTCGCATGGCCTCCGAGCTCCCCCTGATGGAGGGCTGGCCCGCCCAGCTCGACATCCCTGTGGCCGGATCCTCCTGCAACACGAGGGCGTCGTTCTCTGCGTGATCGTACTCGTCGTCGGTGTCGGTATGGTTGACCTCGTCTCTTGGGTGACCGATAAAGTTGCGGGAACCAGAGAGTTTCGCGTGCGCTTCTCGATGCGCTTGGGGCGGTTTGCGGATCGTGTTCACAGCCAAGCGGTCGACGTCATCCACCTGGGTTGTGCTGCTGCTGCTGCTGCTGCTGCTGCTAGAGGATCTCGAGGGAGTCCTGACAGGAATCGATTTTATGCCCGAGTCGGCGTCTTCGTCGTTTTCTTCAAAGGAAGAATATGTAGGGTGGTGGTGAGGAGAAGGAGAGCGAGAAGGACCTTGCGACGCCGACGAGGTCGACATCTGGACCATTTGAAGGGCCACTACGCAAGCTGCCAAGGGGGGGCAGGGCGGGCGTATGTATGGAGGGAGCAGGGGGGGGGCGGGGGGGGTGGGAGTTGATGTGGATCAAGATTCGAGTTTAATAGTAAGCCGGGCGTCGCGGGTGCTACAGATCTATCTACTTAACGCTGGGTGCGCGTCATGCCTATAATTTGTCTGCTGTTGCAGTGCAGGGCCAGGCCGGCCAGTGAGGCTTGAAGGTGCAGTGAGCGAGGGGGTGGGAAAGCTGCTGAGGTAGAGATGATCAATCAAACCGGAGAAAGGAGCGATGCGATACGAGATTAACAGAATAAGAAAAAGAAGGGTCCAGATGTGATTGCGCAGAGCAGGCCTCGGGAATTATTAGGTACTGAAGTGGACGCAAGGGGCGAAGAGCACTGGGGGATGCATGTCACGACAGAAAGAAGCCAGGAGGATGCGTGTCTCGTTTTGGGGGGCGAAGAATGTGTACAACCGGCTTCAATGAATCCATGAATAGAGGTAGGATAGAGGGGAGGGAGTGCTTCTGGACATGAGCCAAGGGAGAAGACGGGCGTTATGGGTGTGACAAGAAACATTGTCTTACTACTTACTACCCAAGGGTACGGGTAGGCGCAGCACAGAAATTAACACGAACTACAATACCTAGTGGGTAGATTGCATTTAGGTATTTTCCAAACTCATTCTCGGCAAGTCCTTTAACTTTCTGCCCAGCCCATTCCGGCCTGCTCACCGGATGGAATGGAGGGGAGGGGGCAGGTGGAAGCTCAGACGGTGGCTTCCAATGTACCTCCCTCAGTACGTTATTCGTACCAAAGTCCCTTTCCTCAGATGGAAGGGAGGTGATCAAGGACACCTACCTGAATGAGGAACGAGCTGACCCAGGGGGAATTGTCCAAGATGAGTCCTGCAATAAACAACTCGGCCTTGCATTGGCACCGGTAGCTTCTTGGAATGTTGTGGAAATGTCTCTCCAACACGTGAACCCAGTCCACTTATTGAGATGGATCCATTGCTTGTCTTGAGGGGGGAGGGAGACACGTAGTCAAGAAATAGATATTCTCAATCGGACCCAGCTGTGTCGAAGCACCGAGTCACTGACAGCATGCCATACTTACCTTGTGCTAGCACAGGAATTTGCGACACACTTCTGAAATTACACGTATCAAGAGCGAAACGATGATGTTCCTTCCCTTGATGTTCTGGGGACACCAGCTCATTGTCAACCACGAACTCCTAGCAGAGACCCCTGCGCAAGCTGGGGGATACGTTATACGAGACATCCATAAATACCTACCCGAAAGTGCGTTCTGGCTGTTGAAGATTAAGCGGCGCAATGGCCCCATTGGTGTATGGTGTTCTTGTGCCTTGGCAACTGAGACAGTCAATACGGTTTTCATTTGATGGTCAAGTAGGTAAAATATGTTAAAAGATAGCAAGCCCCCGTCGACTGAACATGCCCAATCTCAAATTCCCATCTGTAAGATCAGTATGGTACTGTAGACAAGTAGGTATCTGCCTCTGAGGTAAATAGGTACCTAGGTAGGTAGCGTTACTGGCTTCTGATGGCCGGCCCACTGTTGGGTTCCTCTACAAATCAGGCAATGCCGCCGCACTCTTCGGTACCTACGCGGATGTCGCCATGCCCCTCCGGCAGCTGCCGTCACTCCGCCCAAAGACTGCCCCGCGTTCGACGGCGTGCCCCGCCATCCCAGCGTCTCTTTGCGGTCCAGTCGCAGCTCCGACATAGGCCAACGTGGTGGTATCACACTAACATCGGGCCAACCCACACCTCAAAATTTCCGTCCTCTCTTGGTCCGGCTTTTGACTCACCGCAGCACCGAAAGAACCCCCTCCACGGACAGCTTCTACGCAGACACAACGTAGAAAACAAAAGTCGCGCAGACTCGACGATTTCTCCGCCCTAAAATCATCCTGCCGCCCCCCCTAGGCAGACCAATTGACTCGGCATCGCACTCGCTACCCTCAACCCTCTGCATCCAGCTGCGTCGTGCGACACGTTACACACCCCTCGCCGATTTCGCCGCAGGAAATATCGTCGCCATTGGCTTCACTGCGACATCGTGCCCCATTCATACGCGCCCGACGTTCCAACGTTCCCACCCGACCTGCAGTTCCAATTCAACCCCAAGAACATTTTCTCCGCCTCCTGCGACGCTGCAATAACGTACCTTGCCTACCATGGATTTGGTGAACCAGTTGGTTTTTACCCCTCCATCTCAACCACCATGAGCCATTTCACGGGGAAGCTAACGACGACGCAAAGCCTAGAGGGCCGGCTCCTGTTCGCCGTGCCCAAGAGTGAGTCAATTCCCCTTCCAGAGTCCCTTCCAGAGTCCCTTCCAGAGTCCCTTCCCTCCGAGAGCGCGTTGTCAAAAGCCCCTGGGCTGACGATGACTTCTTTCCGCAGAGGGCCGCTTGAACTCCGCCACGCTCAACCTGCTTGAGGGAGCCGACATCCAGTTCCGCCGCGAGAACCGACTCGACATCGCCCTCGTCAAGAACCTCCCCATCGCCCTCATCTTCCTCCCCGCTGCCGACATCCCCACCTTCGTTGGCGAGGGCCGCGTCGATCTTGGAATCACGGGCTGGGACCAGGTTCAAGAGCACGATGCCGGCGTAATTGCCAGCAACAAGGCCCGGAGAGCCTCTGTCTCGTTGAACGGCGAGGATGCCGAGCTTCAAAAGGTTGGGGGCTGCGAGATGGTCATGGAGCTTGGTTTCGGCCACTGCAAGCTGCAGACTCAGGTTCCTGAGAAGGGCGCGTACGCGACTACGGAGGATCTGATCGGCAAGACCATTGGCACCAGCTTCGTGAACCTGGCCGCCGAGCACTTTGCCAAGCTGGAGCTTGGTGTCGACTCGGACGGCAACAGCAACACCTCGCCCAAGAAGCTCCGCACCAAGATCATCGAGCTGAGCGGCAGTGTTGAAGCCGCTTGTGCTCTGGGTGTTGCCGATGGTATTGTTGACCTTGTTGGTAAGTCAACTCAAGCCGACTCGGACTGGTTCAAGTGCTAAAAGAAAGTTCAGAGTCCGGAGAGACGATGAGAGCCGCCGGCCTTAAAGCCATCGACACCGTTGTCGATTCGCAAGCCTGCCTTATCAAGTCCCGTTCGCCTTCAAACACTGAACTGGTCGATCTCATCGCCGCTCGTATCCGTGGTGTCATCACTGCTCAGAAATTCGTCTTGTGCCAGTACAACATCGAGCGATCCCGCCTGGCAGATGCCAAGGCAATCACCCCCGGCAAGCGGGCGCCGACCATCACAACGTTGGACGAGGAGGGCTGGGTCGCCGTCAGCTCCATGGTCGAGAAGAAGAAGATTGCCCTCGTGATGGACGACTTGACCCGCGTTGGCGCTCAGGATATTTTGGTGCTTGATATTCACAATACTCGATAGACTTGACGTACGTGAAGAGGAAAAAATTGGATAAAGACCACAAAACGTGCAATGCACCCGGGACCGAGATGGAATCATTCATTCCCCGGAATCAAGCTAAAGAAGGAATCCATAAAGAAGGGATGACGTAAGACTGAGGCTGGGTGATATGCTCGCTCGTCGCAGTTGTGGCTGTGATGGCGAGACGCGCATCGAGCGTCGACATTGCTTGCGTCGCTAGCGTGGCATTTCAAGCTCTGCCACCTGCCCGAGACCACATTAGCCTTGATAACGGTTGCCACGCACTGGGCACCGCGCCGATTGGCAAAGTGCTGCTTATTTCGCGCGTGCGGATGGATCGGCTGGCCATCGATGACTTTTGTGTGTATGTGTTTGAGCCTGATTGACTTGACAGCGGTTTCTGAGTGCGTCTCCTGGTGCTGGTCTCACTCACAGCTACCTAAGCCAAGTGGGGTCCCTTCCGTCACTCCCGCCCCCCGTCCGCAGCGCGCGTGGATCTGCTGGAAAGAACAATCGAAATCGAGGTGGTGGCACCAGGAACAGCGACGGCCGGTGGTCCAGGCAGGCCGTACCGAATACCTCCACCGACGCGACCGGGACTGACTTGCAATACTTAGGTAACCTGTGTCCCATCTCCGAACGCATTCACCCCACCATCGTATCCTCCCTTTCCCAAGGACCCAGCTCACCTCAGCCGCCGCGCAACGAAGCCGCTGGCAACCCTCTGGAACCCGTCTGCGACTGATAACTCAATTGCTCTTTCGTGCTCGTCCCCGAAGACACCGAAGTGATTCGACCAGCGGAACCATGTCGTCATCAACGACAGCCACCAAAGTCACTGCCACTCGGGCCGGCAGTGACGCCGGCGCAATCCGACAGTCGACACTTTATAAGGTGAGCTCCAACATATCGAGGTGCAGTCGGTGGTTCAAACCTATGTTTTCTTGATACCCAGCTCCTAGGCGCTTGTCCTGCTGCATCGCCAGAATAGAAGTTCACACATACTCGCAGGGCATCGTGACACCCGTCATCTTCGTCTCGTTCCTGCTGTCCCTGGTGTGGGTCGACATCAGATACACCATCAAGAGATCGAGAAACTACAGCCAAGAAGGCTGGATGCCTTCGTGGCTGCACAACGTCGTGTACCGGAGCTCTCCGTATCATTCCTTGCAGGACAGAGACCAGAAGAGCCCAAGACCTGCAGGCGAGAAGGAGGAGTGGTACTACCACAGCAAGCAGAAGAAACTAATGCGCATGGAGGTCGATGATGCTTTTCAGATGCGTGGGCATGTCCTTGTCGTGCTGGCCCTCGTATCGCTGGCCGTCTTCTGGGGCGTTTGGCTGTTTTCCAGCTGGCTGTGGAGGAGCGTTGTTAGAAGGACCTTCAATATCTGAATGGAACGAATTTTCAAGATGCACGGTGTTGGCCGAGGTGTCTGATTCACGCGATCATTCATCGTAGCCTCGGGATTTTTTCTGGTTCTTCAAAGCTTTATGGGATCGTGGTCATAACATGGGACGAACGACCCGGGATGCGATTGCATTGTCTTGCCAGTGCAAATCCCTCCAGGCCCACTTGACGAAAGAGATGGAATGTCTGACTCGGTACGAGACCCGGAACACCCGATCGATCGTTGATGCATGGCAAGACTGAACCCCAATCCTTGTCGGGTCGCTCAAAACAAGGCGTTGCCGTCTTTTGGAGTCGTGTACTGGACGGTAACAAATTCCATCCGGGATAGGGATAGTAAGTCTATCCTCGAAGCGGAATGAGAGCTTGACGTCCTAACTCAGGATATATCTAGGATATCAGGAAGAAGTGGAACTTGAGTAGAAGGGATCTGGAGGCATACGAATAGTATCACAATGTCTGCTTATCAATGTCGATATCACGAATAGGCTGAATCTCGAATGGTGCAATATGACGTACGCCCTCTAGGCAAGGAACATGCAACGAGAGCACTGAAAGAGACATCGAGAAAAGGACATCAACCAGAAGACTTAGAAGCGTATAGATACAAAAAGACAAAATTTCTTCAAATATTTGCTGTAGGTAAAACCGGAGTGACACGGGCAGCGCCTTGGGGGTTTTCAAGAAGAAGCTGGGTCTGTGACAGAAACGTGGAAGTACCCAGGCACTGAAAGGATGCTGCTGCTCTTTCCATCTCCCGGATCGCCCAGGGCTCTCGATACATGAACCTGTCCAAAAGTCCAAGTTGTAAACACATCGGATCTCACCTTTGGAAGCCCCTCGACTTCTAAGCTGACATAGAAGTGAGGTTACATCCGATCGAGGTCAGTACCGGCAAGAGTGGGGCAGATCGCGGGGCAAGCTTCGGTGTGCTTCTGTTTCAGCACCCCTCCCCTGGTATGTAAAGAGTTAACCCACTGTCGCCTCGGCGCTGCCTTTTCTGAATTCCAACACACAACCTCAACTCTCATTGCCCCACAGTTATCGGTGTCGCCAGTATCAAGCCGATGTTCCATCTTCACCTCACCCACCCGATGAGATAAAAGCATGTCCGACCCGGAGCCAGACCGCTGCAAGCAACCCGGCGTATTGCACGGAGTTACCGCGCCGCTGAACGACGCGCTGCGAGGCGCACTTTACGCCTCTATCGAGACCATTTACGCGGTTGGTGGGTCCGACACGTCTATCCACCACCACGCGTCCAAACCAGGCACAGACAGCGGACCTCATGCCGTCGCGACGAACCACGACACTGGCCTTGAGCCGTCCTTCTCGGGCCCTAACCGATCTCTGGAAGCTTCCTGTGCACGGCTGACCGAGTGCTTGAAGCGCTGGGAATCGAGGATCGAGGATCGCTCACTCCACGGTCAGGCTGCTATCTATCACTTCCACCCGCCAAACAACATTCTGGACTTCCAAAACTGGGTCACGAGCCAGAGCCTGTCTGCTGCTGACGCTGCTCTCGCGGCCCGCCTGCGCACATTGTGTCCCAAACTAGGCTTCGAAGTATTTCCTATAGTCCTGAAATACACAGGGACCACCTGCCAGTTCAATGCTTGGGTCCAGCAAATGAACGGCCGTGTTGAGCCTGTCTCGGATGAGCAAATCGGCTTCTGGAAGCCCTACCAACATGTCAAGCACTCTCCGAGCATCTTTCAGTTCAACACCTTTTCAGGTTCCACGCTCGCGGAAAATGCCGTTTGCCATGTGGGCAATGTTCTCGACGACAGAAACGTCGCTTGGGAAAGAGCTCGCCGCGGCCTATTCTTCTGGCAATCGCCAGAAGAGCAGCGGCAGTTCGACGAAGAACGCAGGGTCCGTGAGGCAAACCCCAAATGGTATCAGAACATCATCCCAGGCACCAGTGGCACCCTGGGCCATTACCTTGCACCTGTTAGTCTCACTTGATACCCGTCTTCAACGTCGCAATATGGTTGACCATTGTTCAGGCCATGATTATTGTACCTTTCAACACGCAGCTAGATGTCGTCAACGTCGCCGAGCAGCCACAGCCTGTTGCCCATCTTTGGCGATATCTCCTAGCGCAGTGCAATCAATCCGTGAGGTCAGCGGCTTACTTCGATGCCGTGAAAGCTCTGTGCCGGTTCGTGTGGCCTGAAGGAGATGATCAGCCTACGGAGACTCGTGTTCTCGGCATGCAGATTCGAAATCGTCAGGAGTGGATCGATGCTATCGACTCTGGTATTATGGGCGACTTGATCATGGCTTCACTAGTTCTCAAGGACAGTCAGCTTTGTAACAGCCTCATTGCCCAGACTCAAATTGAGCCGAGTCTCGATTACACTTGGCTTTGTGAGAATGCCAGCGTTCATGGCTATTCTGCAGCTGACGTGCTCCATGGGTAAGTTAAGGATTTCCGTTCAACAGATGTAACTGACGTCTACCAGCCTCCGCCACTTCTTATTCAAGCGCAAAAACTTCTTGCAGATTGCCAGTATTATTGACAAGCTGCCTGCGTATTCCGCTATCGACCACCCAACCGAAAAGGTCTCGGAATTGGTAAAACGTACACTCGACACACTCGATCACCCTGTATCAGCGAGCCATGGTCGGGTTGTGGTCAACTTACTAAAGTTGTTTGGGGACTTCAAGATGTGGAGCGACATGTGGGTGTCTCGCCGTTCTTTTGGTTGCGTGGGTGTGCTAATCGAGTGCAGTGTGAAAACAGCCATTGCCAGCGAGCCTCGGCAGCTTGATCGACACAGTCAGTTTATGCTAGGATTGCTCAACAGACTTCTCGAGGTGGCGAAGAAACACAAACTTCCTGTTGATGAAGTGACGGCTTTCTATCAACAGTATGCAGAATTGATGAACTCATCGCACACGCTGTGGCAGGTTCGTCGTCTGATTAGCAACGTGACGAAAGACCAGCACCCCGAAGCAAAGGCGGCTCGAAAGGCTTGGTGCGTTGCTGAGCCGACGTCAGAGCTTCTCAACGATGAATCTGAGCCACCGACGAATCACAGTGTCATTGCTGGACTCTTCAGGAACCTCGATCGACTTGGCATGCACGATCAAGCAACCAGCCTGGCAGACCACATTGTCCAAAATGTCGCCGAAATCGAACCCATTCACATGTCGCCCTTGTGGCTGCCGTTATTGACAACACTTCAAGACCTGGCCGATCCCGAGAATCCGGCGTTCCAGCGCCTATTCCAAGCCATCTTCGAGCGTTACCATGAGGCTGTCTTTGAGGACCTCTCTGGTCGACTTGAACAAGACCCAGGCTGTATACCGCACATGGCCTCATGCTGTAGCCATTGCCAAAAGCTCGACCCCTATTTCGAACAGCCTCATTGGAAGACTCTTCATCTCGTGATTCCAAGAGATGTAGTGGATCATATCAAAACCCAGCTTCGCGAGCAAGAAAAGCCCATCAAGACAGTCGTCTATGGCAAAAACGAGGCAAACTTGACGATGCAGCTGACCAAGACCTCGCTAGTCAATGAAAGACTGCGTGCGGCTGAGGTCTTGCGACGACAAGAGGCGATGAGGACTGTACGGCAGTTTGATCCAGACAGATTGCTGCCTTTCCTTGGGGACAAAGGTGAGATCATGTGGAGGCTCGGGAACGCAGAGTCTCAAGAGGCTCCCGAAAACAACCCTGCCAGATCCTCGGAATCGCTGTCCACCAGCGCTGTTAGGCTGTCGAGACCAAGCTCGTCGTCTACTTCAGATACGTCTCTGGATCTCTTAGAGACGCCTCGAACGAGCCTCCAACAGCCCCCAATCAAGAGTGAAGCGTCATTGGGTACCGAACGAGAAATTTGCAAAGCTACGCCAAAGCTGGAGAGCCACGGTAGCCTAGACAACATTAAGGCAGAGCCTTCTTCCTCGGCTTCCGACTCAACAAGACGCCCAGCCCATAAAGACATCCAAGAGTTGTTCAGAGCCGCCACGGTCAAAAATGAGACATCCACCCTTGGAAGCAGCCAGAGTCTGCCCAAGACGAGTAGCATTTCGGCAAGAGACCGCCTCAAGTCATTAAGCTCTGTAAAGCGGAAGTCTACACCGAAATACGACGAGGCATCGACAGAGCAACTTCGGGCGACTCTGGATAAGGCCCGCTCATTGAGAGGAACGCATGGAAGCAGTAGCGGCAGCAGCCGCGCAGCGTTGAGCTATTCGTCAAAGACAGCAACCTCTCCAAAGAGAACGGACACGGCGCCTTCATCTGTGGCACTAAGGAGCAATGAGCCTACATCTTCTGCCATCGAGAGATCCAGTTTGCCAAGAGGCTCGCAGCCGCATCCGTCGCCGTCACTTCGCAGAACTGGGACTGTTGGATTTGGCACGCGACAACCAAGTGCCGTGGCCGGCTCTTCGACCGGCCCAACGCCGCGCCTGGGCTCTCTGACAAGTGGCCTGAGTAAAGGTCTAGGCACCGGAGCCATGGCCAGGAGGCCATCGGGAAGCTCTTCGCCGGCCAACAGCAGTACGGAGCCAGACTTCGTGGCGGCTATCCTGGACGCGGAGCGTGCGAAGAAGCGGCGACCCGGCTCGACCTGGGAAGTGCGTTCAGCCTTGGGTAATGTAATGGGTTCGGGAACGTCTTCCGGGAAGGCGAGGTTCGACAGCCTCGCACAAGACAAGGAGAATCTCGGACGGCCTTCGCACTTGTCAAGGACGCCTCATACCAGAATTGGGGCAGCTGGCAGAGCGAGTGCGGTTTCCGGGGCCCTGGCCGTGAGATCGCAGAACGTGAGGCCCGGGACCACCCGGATCCCCGCCTCGGCCGGGATCAAGAGAAAGGTGGACAGCAGCGATGACGAAGTCATCGACCTCTGCGGCGACAGCCCTTCGCTGGGTGCGAAGAAGAAGAAAAAGGGCGTGCCGACTTTTGATTTTCTAGACGACGACCCCTTTGGTGAAGATTAAGGGGGCTACGGTTGGTTTGTTTGTTCAGACTATAGCATATGCTTCCAAACTCGGCGACGAGCGCCATCTGGATACGGTTTTTATGCATGGCAAATGAGGAGCGCGACTCTTTAGGGGTCAAGGATTGGACATTGGTCAGAGGCGTTTCGTGGGAGGGATTGAGCATTTCTCGCAGAGCAAGGCTGCGGTGCGGGTTGGATACGACAGTTGGTGCAGACACATCTAGATAGATACCCCAAGGCGATTCGAGGTGCAAACAGGGCACAGTCTCTTTTTCCAGGACTCAAATTCATTCACTGATTCTTCTTATTGCTGCTCTAACTGGAAGAAACCCCTTTTCCAATTTGCATGTCCCCCCCCCCCCCCCCTCCTCCCCCCGTTGGCGTTTGGCGCTTGCACGCCAGGTCGTCGTGAGCAGAATCTCCACGAGTGATAGCGGGCGATAATCACATTACGTACAGGATATCCGTGTCTGTGTAGCCAGCCACTGGTGAGCAGGATCGAGCGAGAGGCCAGCAGAAGGGGGGGGACTTACCGATCGGGTGACTGCTCGAGAGCTGGGGCAGCTGGGTGTACTTCTCCTGGAGCACATCGCGGATGCTGTTGAGAAGCTCGACGTAGCTCTGTTGGGGCTTGGCCTTGAGGGCGGTGATGAAGGCGTAGGACATGGCGCCCGTGGCCTGGTTGGCGATGGTGGCATCGGCCCTGCAGGTAGGCGGGTGTCTCTGGTCAGCTGTGTCACGCGGCCCGAGCCGGACGGTCCCGGGAGAGGGGGTTAGGAGGTTTGGGGGGTTTGCCACTCACGATGTCTGACTGTCCTTGCTGCCGGACCACATAATAACGTCGGCGGGCGATGTGCGAGTCTCCTTTGTCTTCTCGTAGGCGTCGTCGCCGGCCATGGCGCGCTTGCCGAAGCTGAAGATGGAGCTTGCGACGGCGCCGAGGTCGCCCGAGGCATAGGCTGTGAAAGCATTGAGCAGGCCCTGGCCGGCTTCCTTGGCCAGGTTGGGCTCCTTGAGGACGCCCTTTGTGGAGTAGATGTAGGGCAGGTCGAGGGCGGAGCCCGAGTGGCACGAGTCGAAGATGGCCGTCAGACGCACACCAGGCTGCAAGGGCTTGACCATGATGTGGTGCATCTCGTCGTCGACGATGTGACCGGCCTCCTTAAAGTCAACGGGGTAGATAACCTCATCATAGCCGTCGTCCTCGTCGCCGTCAATGTCCTCGGTCTGACCACCGTGGCCCGAGTAGTGGAAGAAGAGTGAGTCGTTGGGCTGGGCGCCCTGGACGAGCCAGTGCATAGCGCGGAGGATGTTGTTCTTGGTCGGCTGGCCCATGGGCTGCTGCTGGTCGTCGGTGAGGATTACCATGTCCTCACGCTTGTAGCCGTACCTTTCGACGAGGAAGGCCGAGAGGTTCTTGACGTCGTTGATGCAGCCGCGGAGCTCGCCGTCCTGGCCAAAGTAGTTGATGCCGATAAGTAGGGCCTTGCGTTTTCCCTGGCAAGTGGAGTACTGGAAGCTGTAGCCCTCAGGGGCGCCGTGGCCGAACTGCTGGGCGCCGGAGGGCGGAGGAGGCGGCGCGTTGCGGTTGCCATGAGCCCAGTCGTTGGAGTTCACCGTGGGCATGTCTTGAGAGCGATTCAGTATCGGGCGAGAGGTGACATGAGAGGGAAATGGTACTCACTGGGCCTTCCCTGGTGTCCAGAATTGACAGGGTAGCCATAAACATCAAGGCCGGGAGGCGGCGGGTAAGGAGGGGGGGCATACCTGCCGACGTAGCTCTGGTCCGGGTACGGGTTAGGCGGCGGCTGGTTGTAACCGTAGCCACCCTGGCCCGGAGGAGGACCGGGGGGCGGGCGGTCGTAGCCGCCGCCGTAGCCTCCGTGTTGTTGCGAAGGAGGCGGGCCGGGGGGCGGCTGGTATCCGCCGTAGCCTCCTCCGCCGCCCTGGTGCTGTGAGCCATAACCTCCCTGTTGGTAACCGCCGCTGCCGCCGTAGCCTCCGTCGTGACCACCGGCACCGTAGCCGTACTGTCCCGGGTAACCAGACATCTTTGTTGGGTCAGTTGACGCTGTGTGAGTGATGTACTGGGGTTTTGTTGTGCAACCCGTGTTTTTGTTTACCACACACACACCCACATGCGCGTGGTTTCTGTGACGGATGTGAGTGAATTGCTAGTGAGGAGAAAAGGCGGGGTGAGGGGCAGAAAACCCACTATGGGTGAATAAGCGTAGCCGAATTCGCCCCCAGGATGTCCAGTAAGTATCGAATGGAGAGCTGATTTTGCAGAGAGGAGGAGTCTGAAGAACGGCACTGACTTCGGGCTCGGAAGATTAAGGTGTCATTAAGAATGGAATGAGAGGGGGGGGTGAGAGAAGCGTGGCGGGGTTGAGATGTGAGAGCGACCGTCCGTCAGTCCTTCAAGGAGAAAACGATTGGTTACATTTGAGGGTCCCTTCAGGTCAGTGTCTCTCGCTGGGTACCTCTCACTGGCAAGGTGGTATGGTACGGCAGGTACTATACATAGGTAGTTTCCCGCGGTTGGGTTGGGAAGGGGCCTTGGGGGGCTCGGGATGGAAGGGTGACGGAGGGGCAGCCGGAGAAAGGCAGCCCAGGATGAGACAGGTTGCGGTCGGAGTTGTGGGGTTGGAAGAGGGGCAGCAAGGGGTAGAGCTTCACTCTTGCAACTGCACCAGATTGACGGGGATGGGGGCGTTTGGTGTAGCGTTTGGACCGCTCGGCTTGGGATTCACGCCACCCTCAGAAGACAAAGACGCTTACTCGTTCGATTGAGAGCATGTTGACTAAGGTATGCCAGAAGCTTGTCGACACAAGCGGCTGCTTTGCCTCCCTAATGGATATCAATGAGCTTGTCAAGGCCAAAATCAACGTCCGGAGAAGGGCAAGCAAGCGGCGCTAAACTGTACTGGTCATGAGCAAGTACATTGAGCTGTTTTGATACCGAGAGCCCAGCAGGGCTTGAATCGTTACCAACCACCGCCACCACCAGCACACGCCAATTAGACGCAGAAGTGTAGTGTACCTAGCAGCAGCCAGGCGCACGAGCGTGAACTTCCCCTCGGGTTGCCAAGACCCAGTCGGCTACCAGTCCCTCCCCTTCCCGCAGACAGCTGGAGAGAATGGACGAAAACGCCCAGACCTGCAGACGGGAAAGAGAGGGCGGAGGGCGGCGGAGGGATACATACTATCGGGCATCTACCACGCCCTCCTCTCCTGCGTCTGTCTCTTTCTGCCCGCCCGCCCGCACTGCAGTGCGGGTTCCATTTCAGAGGACCGGACAGACGCGGGCCTAAACCGTTTCGAGCAATAGCTCAATGTTGTGGATGCGGCCGCGTACGCCTGGCAGGCCCGCGGGCGGGAATGGCTCGGGCGCCAAGCCCCTTCCCAGGCGTCACAGGCGCTAAACTGCGCCGTAGGGCAGCCTGGCGTCATTCCTCACATGCCGGCGATCCTGTGATGCGGGTGAGGTACATACGTAGTAGGTAGGGCAGGCCAGGGCAGGGCACTTGGGTATGTACCACTTGTACCTTTGTGTGCGCGTTGGAGGGATCAGAAAGAGATGATGATTGACGGATAAGCCAGCACTGCAATCTGGTGCTGTAGTGTAGTTGTTTGTGTGTGTGTGTGTGAAATGTCACTTGCTGCTAGGAACTCAAATGGAGTGATACGTAGTGAAGAACGTAGCGACAAGCATCAGCTCAGTCTTGAAAAGCATGGGCCGTTCTCCGTGTCGGCATCCATGTGTACCTTTTTTTTTTCTTTGCACCATGGCAAAAACAAGCTGGGAGACGGCAACAGGGTGGTACTAGGAGACAGCCATTCAATCAGGCTGAGGCCGAGGCGAGACACAGATACGAGGGGCTCTCTCTGCCTTTCCTCACCACCCATTTTTCTTCTCTTCCCCTCCCCCTCCAAATATTCACACTGAACAACAAACGATTGATCCATCTGATTTGTTGCACGCAATTATACCAGACGAACGACCGAAGCTGTGGCTGTCATCAAAGCTCCCTTCGCACACATTCCCCATTTCACTCACACTACTCCGTACATTCGCTCGCTTCCCAACCCCGCAAAGCTCAAAAATGGTCCGTTTTCGCCTGCGATGCCGATGAAGCTACCCCCCCTTCCTCGCTTTGCAGCTTCAGATATAGCCCTGCTCTCGATAACAGAAGGCTAACTTTATGCAAGGCTCCTCCGTACGGTCTCACTGAGGAAGAGTACAACGATTACAAGGCAGTCTTCTCCGTATTCGTAAGTTGCGACGACTCTGCCCTGCCCGCGTCAAGTTACCCCCGCAGCGATCAGATTATCATGACCTATCGCTCCTTGGGATGAACATCTCTCGCTGACAATGGTGTTTTGCCCATGAAACAGGACCGCGATGGCACAGGTTAGTAGCCCAGTCCGGCTCGACTTGGCTCATCATTCAATTCCATCACCTACCCCGTCCTCCCTCCTTCTCTCCCCGACCGCACCGCGCGCATTTGCCCCCCTCACGCGACAGCTTCCACACAGCTCATGTTACCCCCCCCGGTCACCCATGGCTAACATCCGGCACCAGGCGCCATCAACGCCGAGGAGTTCCAGATCGCCATGAAATCGCTCGGCCTGAACCCCAGCATCAAGGAGGTCAACGAGCTCATCGCCGAGGTCGACCCCAACAACGATGGTGGCATTGATTTCAACGGTGAGCAGTCCCCCAAACAGCCACGCCCGGCGCAGCGAGGTCCTCATGCGTCATCGCTTCCACGGGCTGTGGCCGACCCGAGCACCCGTCAACTGACAGGTGCCCAGAATTCCTCCAGCTGATGAGCGAGGCCCCCGCGCCGTCGAGTAAGGACTCGGACACCAACAAGGAGCTCGTTGCCGCCTTCAAGGTCTTCGACAAGGACAACAGCGGCTCCGTCTCGCCCTCGGAGCTGCGCCAGGTGCTATTGTCCCTCGGCCAGCGCGCCACCGACGAGGAGATTGAGGAGATGATCAGACACGCCGACCTGGACGGCAATGGTTCCATTGACTGTGAGCAAAACCCCCTCCCCCGTTTCGATGTCCCCGTCCTTTTTTTTTCGCGGTTCGTATGTGGCAGGTTCGGGTTCGCCCTGCACCACCACCTTTCGCTTCTCCAACACCGCCCCCACTCCATATTCTTTATTTAGCAGCATTCACTCCTGGAGGATCCATGGACTGACGTAAAAAAAAAAACCCACATCAGACCAGGAATTCGTTCAGCTCATGGCCCCGAAAGACGGCAAGAAGTGAAAGAAACTAAAACAAAAAAATTGAATAAGACTCGGCACGGAAGGGATGCCAAAGCGTAGGCGAACATTTTGGCGGGGGGCTGGGTTATCTCTAGGGGTATTTCTATTGGTTACGGGGACAAGAAGGGGGGGAAACGCACGACACTTGGCTGCCTTTTGATACCCTTTCCCCCCGATGAAGGCACATTGAGATGGAAAGGTTCGGGCAGCGGTTTGCAAGGCGAAGACAGACTTGGCAGGACAAACCACACGACAAACACATACGCACAGCATACACACATTGAAACCCAATCAAACATGCGTTCTCACGGTTGTAGTTGGCTACCCTGTGAATTGAATGGTCTCTTCGGGTGGGAATCGGTTGCTTTGTTTGTTACTATCTGCCGAGAATACAAGGCATTCGCCAAATGTATCGTTTCCTTCCGCAGCGAACAAGGGCCCGTGTATGTCCCGCCCCGGATGACGGCAAGGGGGAAAAAAAGCGAGACGCAATCGCCATGGGGGATTAATCATAAGAAAGGGGAATAGTCGATGGAAAGAAAAAAGAAAACCAGCCGAGGGTCAGATGTCGTGTAGCCCGTCCATCATTCCCCCCATTGCACGAAACAAACCTGCGCGCGCAGGTTGGCGATTTTTGCCGTGTCGCCCTCCATCAAGTCGGAAATGACAGGGCGATTCGCAAGTAAAAAAGACGTCGCCCTCGCGTGATTCGACCCCAGCCCGCGTCAGCCGCCCAAGTCGCGATCCCGACCTGCCTATCCTATCCGTACCGTTTTCCCCGGACCCAGGGAGCAAAAGAAGTTAAGGCCATGGTCGCATTCAGGGTGGTGGTTGTAATGGTGGTATCTCTTTGTTTGGGTTGTTTGTCACACTCGGGATTTCTTGTTGTAGTATTGGCGATTAGAAGCAGCAAGTCAGGCACTCCAGGCAGCACTCGCAGGTCTCTCCGCAGAGCCAGCAGCAGCAGAGGGTGGCGATGCTATATTAAGAGAAAAAAAAGAAGGGGTTAGTCGACGATGCCGTTAGGAGATAGGAGGGCCGCTGATACTCACCAGCCGTAGAGGCAGCCCTTGTCGTCCTTCTTCTCTTCCTGAGGAGGGGGGGCCTGGCCCTGGGGAGGGTAGTACATCTAGATGCGCATTCTGTCAGCTGCCTGCTCATTGAGATTTCTTGCGAATAACGAGTGAGGACTTACAGGCTGCTGGCCGGGAGGAGGGTAGCCCTGGGGAGGGTAGCCACCCTGAGGAGGGGGGGCGCCATAGTATGGCCTGCGTGGGCGGCGCTGGTCAGTCTTGGCGGTCTCGCGGACTGGAGGATGAGCGCGCGCTGGAGGGGGGGGGGAGGGGACTCACTGCTGCTGGGGAGGGTATCCAGACATGTTAACTGAGGTTTACGAGGGAGTTGTTGATGAGGCGAGGCTGTTGTGTATGGGGCTCGCGTGAACAAAGCGAAGGTTGGTGATGGTGGGAGATTGCGCGGGAGGGAAGACGCAAAAAAGGGAGGGAAAGAGTGAAGGAGGTGGAAAGATGCGAGTTCCAGGCAGGGGGTGGTGGAGAGGATAAAAAAGAATAGACGGGAAGGAAATATGAATTGAGGGTAGCATGTGAGGTCTGCCGGTCAGAGAAGAACAGTCATGTTTATTACCTACCCAGGTCACCCGTTGCCGGGATCATGGCCCAAGATTCAAGGCACTACTTAACTACCTACCTACATACTACTTCGCCTTTCACCTGGGTTCTCCTTACTCCTCTGTCAGCGAGTCGCACTTCGTTGCGGACCGGAGTACGGTACACGCGCGTTACGTGTAAGCCACTCCCATCTTAGGGGATCCGAGGGCCTTACCCTCCTCTTTGGTCTACCGTATCTTGGAAGGGTCCATAAAACAAAAAGGGGTCCCCGCCCCGCTCTTATGTTCACTCTTCCGGGGCCCGCAGATCGCTTGCACAAGTCAGTAGGCGCAAGGGGGCTCCTTCCCAGCGCGCTGCACAATCAACCAACCAATGCTAACCTCACCTCGAACCACTTCTTTCAATGTCAGCTCGCAAATGGTAAAAAGAGAACCAAGAGCGAAGCAGGAGGGTAACAATGGGGTCCTTCTGGGATTCCGGGCTCTCGGCGGTGGTACCTTGTGTAAGTTTTCCGAAGCATCTCGCGGATTGAGAGACTTAAACAGAGTTCGATGCTCAATGCAAGGCGGAGCACGGGATGACTGTTCATCTAAACTCTGTGTTATTTCTGTATCCATACATCGTAGACGCACGCTGTTGAGCAGGCAGTCCCCCGTCCGTCGAACCGTAACGCAAACTGAGTACCGGATCTCAAGTGGGCGACTTGATGGACGGCGGTGGTGGATATGTCGGCATCGAAAACGCTAGCCAAGCCCAAGGATTCCTCTTGGCCCTCTCTTGGCAGGCGTACGCGTCCACGTCGAAAAGCGTTAGGTCTACTGCAAGCTCCTCCTCGGCAGCCCATTGAGAGCGTCCTTGAGACCCGTTGCCAAGCCCGGGTGGACGGTTTGGAGTCTCCTCTTTCTGAGACCATGCCTTGCGCTGCCATACGTCCAGTCATACGGACAAGATAGGTAGCACACGGCTCAGCGGCGTCTATTCAGAGACGGCCACGACCGTCGATGGAGTGCCATCTGCCCAACAAGACGCGCGAGAAGTACAGCCCCCTTTTCTCGTCTTGTGTACGTCCGTCATCGGGTCAGGCCACCGTGCATGGCTGCATAGTTGGCGAGTGACTATTACCATCTGCATGGACGTGGCATTAAGGTATGAGAGAAGACACGGGCGGCAATTTTGTCTGCCCGTGACATCTTTTCCCGAGACGGTTAGACTCAACCTTGCCGTAAAATCGTTAGCCCCCACAGGGCCGACTACTCCAATGAGAAACTCAATTATCAGGAGGCTTCAGGTCAAGGCTAAGCTGGATATGGCGCGGGCGAGCCCTGTTTAAACCACCGGGGCGGGCAGCGGTCGGCAGGGCGGAGCTCCGGTGACGCCCAGCACCACTGCCATCCACCTTCATAGAACGTCCCCAAAATTTGTGAAGCACGTCTCGAACTTGACATTTCTGGCTCCCCCGCAGTGCCCCGGTACCGCTTTCCGCTCCTCTCACTTGACACGCCCACACACATAGGGACATGTCGGGCCCCTGCATTGTTTTAGTACGTCGGATCCCCTGCCGGCGGTTGCCCTCTCAGCTGTTTGTACGGAGTATCCGTAGCTTGTACGGATACCTAGGTGATGGCTTGTCGGAGGCCTCCAATCAACGACCATCAGCCATCCGCCAGGCAATGTACCTAGGTACCTGTGTTCTCCGTCCCTGCTGGCGAGCCTCATCCCACCGTACCTAATCACCTCTGCTCCATACGCGATACGGAAATGGCTCCGTAACGATATGGCTAGCTACTGGCGATGTCTCCTCAGTGGAAGAGGGGCCGCCCGCACCCGTTTAGATGATATGCCTTGCGAATGCACAAAGTACCTAACCAGTCTTCAGTATTCGCCATCGCTGGGGCAAGTATCATTCAGTTGATGGCCTTACACAGGAATGTCTAAGCACAGAAGAGTGCCCCTCACTCCTGAGGCAGGTGCCCTTTGCTCGTCTGATGAGTGCGGCGGCACATGCTGTCATCCAACCTCACTCGCCCCGTACCGCACCTCGTCCGACTGGCCATCGGGGAGGGAGCCCATCGGTGACCTCAGACACGTCTCTCTCACACATACGGCGACACACCCCCACGCGGACACTGCGCATGCTGCGCGCCGCACTCTGCCCGCCCGCAGCAAGCTTCACTTCTCACCCCAGAATTCAACAGCGAGGCATCCACTGATGTGATCCCCGTCGCGGAGCCTATTATATCTCTTTCCCGCAGTATAAGAGCCCGGGTGCCAAGAAGTCTTGGCGAGCCTCCTCTCGACTCGCAGTTGACCAACGCGCTGGTAGACCCTCCTTCCTCGCTCGGCTCCCTCCCGTCTCCGCCGCCTCTGCTCTTTCCTAGGAGAGCCTATGAGCTATTTTTTTATTTGATTTTTTTTATTTTCCTTCACCTCTTTCCCTTTTCCGTCTTCTTGCCGCAGACTCCTCGACCGCCCGAAATAAAGAAAAGGGCTTACGCCGCGCTGCGCCTTCCCACGTTGCCCCTCAATATTTCTCGGCCTCTGCCGTCTCATCCGTCCTCCCCGCCTCTACACCACTCAACCTACATATCTCCATCCCGCCGTACCAAGTCATCAACCTTGCCCTACGCGTAACCCCTATCAACGAGAAAGAACCACCATGTCTTTCTTCAAGAAGCTCACCAAGGAGTTTGAGGAGCTCAAAACCTCCTTCTCCGACGACAAGCCTGCCGAGAAGAAGGACGACCAGCAGCAGAAGACTGGTAAGTGATCCGTAGATTAATCCCCCTGCTCAAGGGGACGGAGCATGTCATCTATGTGTTTTTGGGTCATCACAACTCACATGCGTTTCTGCCTGGCTGTTACGACCTTGCCGTATTTATCGTGGTCCCGGTACCGGACCCTTCTGTGCCTTCCCCTTGACCTCGGTGCTGGCCATAACAGAACCCATCCAAACACACAACTGTCGTTGTGATAAGGTTACTGACTCGCACGGTTCCTAGGTGAACGCGGCTACGGTGATCAATCGCAGCAGCAGCAGTACGGTGGCTACGGCGGCGCTCCCCCCTCCAACAACCCCTACCCCTCGCAGGCACAGCCTCAGTCCGGCCCGGGCTACGGATACGGCAGCCAGCCCAGTTACGCCCAGACACCGCCTCCGGCTCCTCAGTCCGCCGCGCCCCCAATGGCCGCCCCACCCGTCTCGAGCGGCTGGCTCGTCCAGTGGGATACCAACAACAACCGCTGGTTCTACGTCGACCAAAGTACCGGCCGTTCTCAGTGGGAGCACCCGTCCCCTCCTACCGGCCCCCAGGGCGGATCCTCCTACGCCCCGCCTCCCGTCCCTCCGTCCGACACTAGAGCTTTCGGAGGCGACCAAGGCCAGGGCTACGGCGGCGCTGCTCCCTATGGTCAACCCTCCTATGGCGGTGCTCCTTCTCCCTACGGCGGTGCTCCTTCTCCCTATGGCGGTGCTCCTGCTCCCTACGGCCAGGCACCTTACGGCCAGCAGGGTGGTACCAACCCCTACGACGATAAGGACAAGAAGAAGAGCAACAGCAGCGGCATGCTCCTCGGCGCTGCCGGTGGTCTTGCCGTCGGTGCTGTTGGTGGCGCCCTGATCGCGAACGCCCTTGGTAAGTCAATCGACCGGGGGGATATTCACTCTACCTTGTCGCTGCCTCCATTTGGAAATCTTACTGACCGTGACTTCATAGATGACTCGGATGACGAGCGGAAGGCCGCCGCCGCCGCACCTGCTCCTCAGCCTCAGTACGGCGGCTACCAGGACCCCTACGCCGACCCCAACATGCCTCCGGCTGTTCTCCCCGCCACTGACGCAGACGGCTCATCGGTCTCGTCCAGTGACCGCGAGGATGTTCAGGATGCCAGAGCGGAGTATGAAGAGGCTCTTGCTGCCGCCGCCGACTCGGACGCCAGCAGCAGCGACCACGAGCGCCTCGAGGAGGCCAGAGAGGAGTACGAAGAGACGTATGAGGAGGTGTACGGTGACGACTAATAGACATAACCATATCCGGGCCTCGAGAGTGCGTACAGCGCAGTCAGGATGGTCCAGACTGGGTTGCGAAACTTGCTATGACGACTTCATGATAGGAATTAAGACGGCTCAGTATTGCGTGGCAATTGGTATGGCAGCAAAGCATGCTTTGGCCTGGTGGTTTCGGGACAGTCGTTAGCTTATCTCATGGCTCTGGCCCTCTAGCTAGCGCCTTTGTGAAATTCCAAAACACGAGACGCGTTCTTGGTCTTCGTGTAATTCACTTCACCCAAGACCACCTCGACCGAGTGAGATATTTCCGTGTGACCAACGGATTGGGACAGTCATGAAGAGGGTGACGATGATGGCGATTGGTGAGCAGGTGGAAACCCGAAAAGATGGGTGGGGGGGGGCTCGTTTCTCGAAGCAAGGATGCGATGATGATTTGCAAGTCTGGTTCGTAGATCGCGCCATCCATCCATCCGTCCCTGGAGAATGTCTCGGTCATCCCTTGACATCGCCGGCTGCCGTCTGCTGCGTTCGAGAGACGCGCGATCTGGGTGGGGACTGGGCGCGACTGAGCCGGCCGGCGATGAACCAGATCGGTAGAGAAGGGCTCAAAGCCGTGTGATTGGCTGCCGCCCCCTTTTCGTCGCGACGTTGACCCATGTTTGTTTTCTTTCCTCTTTCTTTTTCTTCTTCTTTCCGAGTCAGAGGGAGAAGCATGGACACAGAGAGACAGAGAGACAGAAAGTTAGGCTCCTCGGTTCTCCCCAAACTCGTGAGATGGAGGGGCGTGAACAGCTGGGGTTCGCCGAGGAAGTTGGTGGGTGAGGACAGATGGCGATTTTGATTAGACCTCACGTGGCTACGACGCCGAGCGTAGGACTACGCTTCGGTATTTGTTAGCCGAAACGGACCGCATCGCCGTCGTCGTCCGCACATATGTCGGCTTCCAATGGACGTATTTCGTCATCGTCAACTTCCGTGCCATGTTTTTCCGAGCTCTCGCTCGAGTCTGCGGCGGTACTGCTCAACAAAATTCCACGTGAAGAACAAAGAACGTTTAAAACTCGCTGAAAGCCCTGTCGTGCAGCCTTCGCTCCTAATCCGTGACATTCGAGCGTGAACCATACCTGGACGGGGACGATTACGTGGAGACAGGAG